ATATCTTTTTATAATGAAGGGTGGGCAAATTTATAAATATTTAAAAGCTAAAGGGATTTTTTTGTCTAGTACTTCTACATGGTTTGATCCTGTTCCAGTGTTTAATGAAAAGGGTTTTTTTTCCTAGGAAAATAGTAAAAAAGGAAAGTTAAATATATTGTTCCCTCCTGAAATTACTAGATTTCTTTCAAATAACCAAAAGTGACAAAATAGTATATGAACCTCCATATCTTATTGAATTGTTAGATTACATAATAGTTGATTTTTAAAAATTAAAAGTTTAATATTTTTAATTAAACCAGACATTATTTTTCTATAATTTTTTTCTATAATGTATCTTTTCATTTATGTATAATTGCAAGTGTGTAAAAAACTGAATGTTTTCAATTATAATAATATTAGTCCGAAGTATGTGAATTGAAGGTACAGTGAAGGTACATTTTGGTACAATGAGTATGAGATATAATTGATAGGTTTGCTGAATTATTTATTATTTGAAATACTTCATTTGACGTAATAGTGGTCTTCTAAATACTTCTTTAAAATTTACATTTCTGAGATTGTAGACAAAATAAAATGTTCTTCATTAGTGCTAAACAGTTACAGTATTATAAAACAAAGTACCTACCTACTTTATATTGTACACATGTGGACATATACACACACAACTCCAAACTGTAATTAGTGTAACACTATGGAGAAAGGGGGTTTGAACCCAATGAATACTGTTGCCCTAATTAAGAACTGGGAAAGCCACTCTTACATGCTAAGATTGTAGTGCAGTGAATAGTGTAGAAATGTTTCCTGAGGTTAATTAGAAAGAACAAGTAACATGGCAGGATAGTCATTTCCAGTTCAGCAAATACAATTATTTCCTGAAGTATTTGTTAGTTGTAGGAGTGGCATCAGAACTATTTTTCTGATCAAGCTCTGATAAGTGCACATCATAACTATGGTGTGAGTTGAATGCGGTCCTCCTTTCATCAGCAGAATGGAATAATTGACCAATTATTATTATTACACAATAAAAAGAATTATTAGAAAGAAGAAAAGCCAGTTGTGGCAGAATATGACCCATTAACAATCCAGTTTAGTAGGATTTTATTTAAATAAAAAAGCTTGAGAAACATGTCACAAGACAAATTTACTCTTATGAAATTCCAAGGAAACTAGTAAATAAAGTATATGGACAGTGAACTATTCTGATAATAAATATTTCAAGGCAGGAACACATTATTCAGATTGGAGAGAGAGCATGATATCATTTCCTAAAAAAACAATAGTATAACCATTTTTTCCTGCAACTCTGATTTCTGAAATGTTCCCAACCCATTTTTGTTTACTGGCAGTGACTTCCCGTAGAGATAAGATTTTTTTTAAATGTGTGGCTTCAAGAACCTGATTATCTAAGCTATACAATTAAAATTCTCATTCCATAATTCCAGAGTATATGTGCAGTTTACTTTGGCTTCTGTCTTGCAAGGAAGCTGAACAGGCCAAATTGCCATTGGGAAAAAAAAAATCCAACATTTTATTCTCAAATGTTATATCTTCAAAAATAAAGACCCCCTTTTCATATTCATATAATATATGCATTATAATCTACATATAAATTTCCACAATCTCAAAATTCCTGAAGTAGAAAATGACACTATCAATAAGAGTACAACAATTTAATGGTAACAATATCCCAGCTGTATCTGAAGGTTTTCAAACATAATTAAATATATACAAGTCTATTGAAAACTATCTTTGTTTTTCAAAGATCCAGTCTGCCTATGAAATAAATGATTGTTTTTGATGTCTGAAACACTGATTTGCTCAAATAATGCCAACATTCTACCAGCAACAATTGACTTGTTTACATTAGACAAGGAAAATTTTGGTTTCTAGATATTAATGGTACATATGACTAGATGTCATGACTGCAGGGGTACATGTGTCACACAAGCACCCACTTTTGTGGGCTCTGTGCAAGATCCTTTTCATTTACTTTTTCATGGGTTTGGGGTCTTTGGGTGGCAAAATGATTGCCTTAAACCTTGTAGAGCAGAAGGCTCATTTAATCCTTAATGCAGGGGTGTCACACTGGATTTCTTTGAGGGCCGGATCAGCATTGTAGTTCTCCGTGGGCTGGCCGGGGGGAAAGAGGGGGAGACGGGACGGATGCCTCCCTGCTGGACAAAACAGGGGGTGGAGGGGGTGACCTCCTGCAACACTTTGCTGGACAAAATGGGGCGCATGGGGGTTGCTTGTGCCCCCCCTCCTGTGTGCCATTTTGGCTGTCAGAGGCACCGCGGGCCAGTCCTTTGCTATTTCCAGACTGGCCCTGCAGACCAGATTTAAGCACCCTGTGGTCCAGATTTGGCCCGTGGGCCTTGAGTTTGACACCCCTGCCTTAATGCCTCCTCCTAAAATTGAATGTTGGTTCTTCCAATTTTGAAGGATAGGCCTTGCCATGCCATACAACACCTGGCAGAGTCCTCAATCTGAGAAAAAGTGTGCACTCCCAACCTACAGGCTAGTCTATCCATATTATCCCCTGGGGTAAGTCATCGTGCATGGTTATTTGCCATCTCCCATGTCTCTGAAGACAGTGATGTAATCACCTGTTACATCAGTGGGGATAGCAACTGAGGGACTCCTGTTGCATTCTTTTTGTCAGCCTGGAAGCTCTCACAGATGTGGGTCATAAAGACTAATGCGTCCATTCGTTTCTCAAGTTAAAAACATTTCAGACTGGATACTCAAGTTATTCCTTCATTATGACCCTAGAACCACCCATACCACTGATTCTAAACTATATGGTTTTTATTTGGAAAAGACTGAGTTGGATAGGATACTCACAGGAACAAAGGAAAACTTAATAATTTTTTTTATAATTTCTTACTTGGCATTGAAATGGAGGAGGAGCAAGTAAAAGAAACAATGATAGCTTGGGGAAGAAACTTTGGATATTCAATTGATCTTGAAAAATGGCAACAACTATGGGAAAGGAATTACAAATTAACAATGTCCACTGCATATATGGAAAATCAATATAAAATGTTTTATAGATGGCCTATACCACCTGAGAAATTAGCAAAAATGTTTAAAGATAAATCAGGTAAATGTTGGAAATGTCACCAATTATCTGGATCATATTATCATATGTGGTGCCCTGAAGCTAAAAATTATTGGAATAAAATTAAGACTTGGTTGAAAGTTGGCAGACTTTATTTGATAAATTAACCTTCTTCATATATCTAATTTAAAGTTTGTCTCACCCAGTTTAACTCACCCTGCACATCCCCTTCCATTCAATGCATTATTGAAATGTGCCAAAAATACATTGGAAGGAAACTCTTAGAAAACTCTACTTCTATTTTTTTTTATTTAAAAAAAGGGAGGGGGAGCAAGCAAATTCCAATCTAGTGTACATAACTCATTATATTAATTAATGTCCAAAGGATGCAATATTAAAAGCTTTCCTTCTTTCACTTTCTACTTTCCTAGTATCAATGATAAGGAAATATGCCTGTTAGCAAAAGTTCTATTAAACTGACACTCAGCATAGGGGAGAGAAGAACACAGTTAATATATATTGGTTTTTGAAATTAGCTTTTAAAGTTATTAATAACTGTGCAACTAATTGATATTTCTAGACAAACATCAGATAGTTTAAGTGATAAGCCTGTAGGCTATTACATCTCTTGCTGTCTTCCCTGCCATAGGCATATTTAAACATATCAAACAACATTTTTAAAAAGAAAAATCACATTGCCAGATTCTAATATACTAAAACTTTGCTGATTCCCCCACGCCTTAATTTGCCTAAAGAAATTCAGAAAAAGGAAAGAAAGGGGTTGAAAAAAGAAATGGCTTGGGGTTTTTTAGAACAATTTATTTCAAACTTAAAAATCATATCAAATCCTTGACTCCTGATGATTGCATTGACTTAAAAATATCTTGAAATAAATAAATTGGGGGTTGGTTGCTTCCAATCACCAGGGAGCATTGCTGATAATTCAGAGTGGTAGAGGTCACAAAAATAAACAATGGGCACTGTGTAGAAAAAAACACCTGATTGTGCTTTAGAACAAAAATATATCATTTGTGTTCAAAAGTCAACAACCCTATTCTCTGATCTTAGCTTGCCATTCAGTGGTTAGAAGTTGAAGAGTTAAGTATTCCATCAGTCAACTCTCCCCCTACTTTGCAACTGGTGTGGCTATAATGCTTAAACTAATTAAATTCAGAGCATGCATAGTGTAAGCTGAACATTTTAGATCCACTGCAGCTATTGAATTATTGAACCTCAGGGGAGGGAGGAAGAGATCGGCAACATGAAAGCAACATGTTGAGCTTCCCTCCTACTCCGCAATCAAGAGCTTTACGAAGACCCGATGAATCACTCTATGAACACCCCCCCCACCCACATTCCCAACACACACTTTTCTTTTTAATGCTGGCGCGAAGTCGAAACGTGTGCGCATTTCAGCCCATACCTTTGAAACCCACCCAAAACTGTCCCTTCCGCTGCAGACCAAGAAAAGGGGAAGAATTCAGGAACCCAAAACAAAACAAACCGCCAGGATTTCCTACCCCCGCCCGACACCTTCCTGGGCGGGTAGCGCAAGCCAAGCGGGATCAGGATGGCCAAGAAGCGGCATCCGTGTGCAAAGCAAGAGGTGCCACTTCTGGCAATGGTGGGATTCAAGTAATTTAACAACCGGTTCTCTGCCCTAATGATTTCTTCCAACAACCAGCTTGCCAAACTGCTCAGAAAGTTAACAACCGGTTCTGCCGAACTGGCTGAATCCCACCACTGGCTTCTGGTCAAAAGATTCTCTCCCCCCCTCCCCCCCAGTGCGCGGGATCCAGAAACACACAGACACCCCTCCGCCAGCAAGGCGACTCCTTGGACTGGCACATTTTGTTCCCAAAAGTCCCCTTTCGAAAGAGGATGCCAAAGCCCGCTCCCCCGACCCCCCACCCCACCAGCGCACCATCCCGGTCACCTTTCCCGTCTCGGTAGAGCAGCCGCTCACCAAGATCCCCATGACATCCGTCCAGAGCCTGGAGAAACTTTCGGGGACGCTGCCGCTGGCGCCCTCCTGGGACTCGGCAGCCGAGGCTTGCTCCTCTTCCTCCTCCATCGCCCGCTGCCTCTCAGCCAGTGCGGCTCAAGACGAGAGCCCCGCAGAGGGGAACCTGGCGCCGGCCGAGGGCGACCCCCGCAGCCTCAAACCTCTCGCCCGGCCGCTGCTCCAGCCTTCCTAGCCGGTTATCTTTCGGGCCAGCCTCTCCAGCATGCCGCCGCGTCCTTGCCTGGCTCTCCCTCCCGGCAGGGCAAGGGAAAGTGGGAGGCCGCGGGACCCTTTTTGGGAAACGCCGCCGGACTCGGGCTCAGCTCTCCTTGGAGCGCCTCCGTGTCCCGCACAAACTTTGCCTACTTGCCGCGGCCAAGCAACAGGATGGCAGAGCCGAGCGAGGCGCGAACCACCTTCTTTCTGGGGAGCGGGGGTGTCGAGGAAAACCCTGCTCCGGCGTTCAGGAGAAAACCACGACAACCCGGGGTCCCTTTCTCTTCTTTCGGCGAGCGCAAAAGAGGCCTGGACCAAAGAAGCGTAGCCAAGGTTCTGCCAGCTGAAACTGGGAAGCGGCTACGGCGTTAGGTTTCAACTTGTCGGTAGAGTAACTTCGGTTCTCTGCCCTTTTCCCCGACATGGACTCTCCCAACTCCACATGACTCCTAGTCCGGGCTTTTTCTCCCTCTCTCTCTCTCTCTCTCCGGGAGAAAGCTTTTAGCAACAAAAGGTGCTCTGATGTCAGCCCCTTTGCATGGCAATGAGCCCCAGACAGACGAACAAATATCCTGCGGAGAGCGCAGAGCCGCTGAAGGCTCCGATTGTCCGAGGTTCCAATCGCATTATCGCCAACTTGACTTCTCCATCGCCGCTCAGAGAGCTAAATGGTTATGAAGCCAAGCCAACCTCCCAAGGTTTCAGACGTGCCAAAAAAAAAACAAAAAAAAAAACCACCCTTCGCTTTGCTTTCCAGGAAGCTTCTTATCTAAGTTTGCCTAGGCTGTTTTCTCGCCTGTGAATGCAAGCTTTAGAAACTTCGAGCCTTGACACTTTTGTCTGTGTTCCCCTCGCTTCAGCGCTGGCACAGGATGTCTCGGGGCTCTTTCACGTTTCAGCATCAGAGCACAGCTGGCAGCAGAGCCTTGCTCCTGCTTAGGAAACCTTTGACGCTTTGGGAAAGAATCCATTTGCACCAAGCAAACAGACAAAATGCAAGTTTCCTGTAGGGGTAAAGGAATTCAGCGGCTTCCAAACTTCCAGAATAGACCTGACTCCTGATTTCTTGCCTTCGCATGCATTTAACTATGTAGGGATTCACCAGGAATATCTTAATGCACTTAATGCACTCACAGCAGGTATATTGACAATTTTATACAAGTGACATTTGATCAGAGCTACCTGAAATTTTCTTTAAAAAAATATTTATTTTTAAACATCTTAAACATAAAATACATCTTTTAAGAGCAAAGGTTTGGACCGGTATTAGATAAATACAATTGCCCACACTTCTTTAACCAATTTGATTCCAAATTTCATCCATTTACATCTTTAAAAAGAAAAAAACATCAAATCACCAATTTTTTATCATACAATCTAATTTCTTATTCTAAACATTTGGCATTCTATTGTATCACCATAAATCTTAAGTCACAAATAAACACAGCTCCTTTTTGTATACAATCTTTCATTTCCAAATAAACACCATTCTAAATTTTTATCATTTTATCAATCAGAATTCCATATATATTCCTTAATCTTAAAACCCATTTCATTAAATCTATATTTTAACCTCTATTGATTTACATCTAATTTCCTTAATCTTGTCATGAAATACGCTTCTCATTTTACATAAAATCACTTCAGAATCGGTTCACATTATCATTCATTCCATGTTTCCATCCATAATTTTATCTAGTTCCCAATCTACTTTATTTTGGCTGATTTCCAGCGTATTCTCCATTACTCCTAGATCTATTATTTAGCTGGTTCACAACTAAATTAGTTATTTTCCAGCATATTCTCCTCGACTCCTCTCGCTGATTCCCAGCATAATCTCCTCCATTCTTCCCGCTGATTGCCAGCATAATCTCCTCCACTCCTAAATCAGTTATTTGGCTGGTTCACAGCATTTTAGTTTAGCTGTTCTCCAGCATAGTATCCTCCACTCCTTCTGCTGATTACCAGCATAATCTCCTCCACTCCTAAATCTATTGTCGCTGATTACCAGCATGCTTTCCTCCACTCCTAACTCTACTTGTTTGGCTGGGGTACCTGAAATTTTTGTGCTGGGCCACATATGTGGCACATGAAGACATCCCTGTGCACATTCAATTTATCAACATTCAATAAGTTGAGATGAATCTGCCAAGATGGCCCAGCCTCCACACCTCCTCTCCATGATACATCCCCAATATGCAAAAAGAACTGGCTTCTGAAATAGTCCATAACACCGCATTCATGCATTTCTCCCTAAGTTTTCCTTATCTTAGTTGTTCCATCTGGTATTTACTACCTGGTTTGACATCTTCACATTCAGATTCCCCATGGCTGTCCCTGGGAATGTAGAAAGTGCTGGTGAGTTCATGTGGACATATGATCACAACCTCAAAGAAGATTAAAAAAAAAAACACAGGACTTTTGTGAACAGCCTAATATAATCAGCAAGGGCATTGTGCCTAAAGAATTCAACGATGCCTTGTTTTCCTAGACAAAGATTATAAACAAAGCACCAGGGCAATGTTCAAAGTAAGAGAAAAAATACTTTGCCAAACATAGCTTGTTCACACAAAATCCTTTAGAAAGGACACAATTGAATCAAAAGCGTTATAGATCACAATCCTCACCATGTTTATTTGCCACTGCCAAGAGTTAGACATAAAATTGCAACCTAAAGATACTGTAGCAAACTTTTTTTGTTTTGATTTTTAGTAGAAAAGCATAAGTGCAAACAGAAACAAACACCCCAGTGCTTATGAAAATTCTTATAATTTGTTTAAATGCCTTAGGAAAAAAAACTGTAATGGTGCAAACACAGTTCCTTCTTCCCTTCTTAAATCTCACCTAAGACAATTCAAAACATCTGAGTGCTTATTTAAACTGCTGCCATTTACATTTAAATTACTAGGCCACCAACAAACAATCTGAAATAAACATACTTGAATTATAAAGTTATGCTACCCAAAGCTCTCTGCTTCAATTATACAGTGAACTGCATAGAAATACAATGAACTTCTGTCTTTTCTGAGAAGACTGTCCTGCTGTGGCCAAAATTTTGGGTTATGCAGTACAGGTTATCCTCGACTTATAACTATTTGCTTAGTGACCGTTTGAAGTTACAATGGCACTGAAAAAAGTGACTTATGAACATTTTTTCCATTTATGACTGTTACATCATCCCTGTGATCACGTGATCAAAATTCAGATGCTTGGCAACTGATTCACATTTATGATGGTTGCAGTGTCATGTCTCATGTAGTCCCATTTTGCAACCTTCTGAGAAGCAAAGTCAATGGGGAAACCAGATTCACTTAACAAGCATGTTACTAATTTAACAACTACAGTGATTCACTTAATAAATGTGGCAAGAAAAGTTATAAAAAAAGGGCAAAATTCACTTTACAAAATTCTCTCTTAGCAACATAAATTTCGGGCTCAATTGTGGTTGGAAGTTGAGGACTACCTGTATTTTCCACCAACTTCTTGCACATTCATGCCCTATCAAGATATTGGCCTTCATAATCCATTGGCCATATCAACCAAGGAAGGCATCTGGTTAGAAGGATTTCTGGTTGAAAATCCATTCATATACATCATGCAACCAAGAATAAATAAATATTCATGGCAGTGCCATTCATAAATGATATTATAGACACCAGGGAGAAATCAACAATTATTCGCTGACTGAGCACAAGCATAAAATCTAGCCATTGCTTCATCTAAAGGGCAGCGTCCCTATTAAAGGATTAAGGATTTCCAACTGCTGACACATAAAAGCCCAATTTTACATGTCCCTCACATACAATCCTAAGTATCTAAGGACTATGTCTAAAGGATCGTGTTCTAGAATTATGGCCTAATTCACAATGTGTTATTGAGACAATAAGCACTTTGGGGGGGAGGAGCATGTTAAAGTCTTTTACTACTATACTGCATAAAGTCTTTACAAGATCAGAGTTCACTTCATTAAATGCAATGCTTTGAGAAAGGAGTATTTTATACACAAACACATACACACACTAATCAAGCTGTTGTCAGGGTGAGCTCAGAAGGTGGAAAAGGAGAGTTCAGAGGCAGAAGAAATAACAAGCATTAATAATGCAATTTGTGTGACTCAAAGCATTTTTGCACTGCACCTTATCCCAATGCAGACTACTTCTAATCTGGCGAGGCAATAATGCTGCACTTATGCAGCTGCCCAACACAATATTCAGCATGATTTACCACTGGCAGAAAGGTATAGGGTCATACGAGGTCTCCATTCTATCAGTGCTTTCTTAATCAGCCTTCTCCAATCTGATTTTTTCCAGTTGAAATTCAGCACATCTGGTCATGACCATGGCCAATTTCCATGCCAGTTCAACAAAGTTCACAAATCATTCAAACTTGGCAACTTACATGACAAATATCACACAAGACTCTACAACCACATACCGAAGCATGTCAATCCCACACAAAGCACCTCAAGGAACTTTACACTCTTTATACTCATCATGGTTCTCCTCTTACAGTACCTCCTAGTTAAGGGACATTAAAGTTGAAGGAAAATATTCCCAATTTCTCCATGTTCATAATGCTCAGAAGAAAGTAGAGAAAGAAAATACCCAACAACTGTTTGTTGTTAGTTGCGAAGTCGTGTCTGACCCATCGTGACCTCATGGACAACGTTCCTCCAACGTTCCTCCTGTCCTCTACCATCCTCTGGAGTCCATTTAAGCTCACACCGACTGCTTCATTGGCTCCATCCAGCCCCCTCGTTCTCTGTCGTCCCCTTCTTCTTTTGCCTTCAATCTTTCCCAGCATTAGGCTCTTCTCCAGTGAGTCCTTCCTTCTCATTAGGTGGCCAAAGTATTTGAGTTTCTTCTTCAGGATCTGGCCTTCTAAAGAGCAGTCAGGGTTGATCTCCTCTAGGACTGAGCGGTTTGATCGCCTTGCAGTCCAAGGGACTTGCAGGAGTCTTCTCCAGCACCATAATTCAAAGGCCTCAATTCTTTGGCTCTCAGTCTTTCTTATGGTCCAACTTTCACAGCCATACATTGCAACTGGGAAAACCATAGTCTTGACTATACACACTTTTGTTGGCAGGGTGATGTCTCTGCTTTTTAGTATGCTGTCTAGATTTGTCATACCTTTCCTCCCCAGGAGCAAGCATTTTTTAATTTCTTGGCTGCAGTCCCCATCTGTGGTGATCTTGGAGCTCAAGGAAAATAAAATCTGTCACTATCTCAATTTCTTCCCCATCTATTTGCCAGGACCAACAACTGTAAACTATCATGAATAGTCATTAAAAGAAAGATTTCCCATCTCGCCCAAATCTACTGGAAAAATTCTTGCTTCTTCCTGGTTGAAAGTGTTGTAATGAATTAACCTAGGGCAATAGGAGGAAAACATCAGGTGACAATTGCAAGGGAGATATGCAAGTTTAAAAATCAAAAGAGGGAGAGGAGGACAGATTGTCTAGTTATGATAATGATTGACATGTAATCATCTAGCTTAACTTTCATCCCACAATTTTAAAATTCACACTGAAGTATTAATAGAACCGTGGTGGCGCAGTGGGTAGAATGCAGTATTGCAGGCTACTTCTGCTGACTGCCAGAAGTTTGGCAGTTCGAATCTCACTGGCTGAAGCTTGACTCAGCCTTCCATCCTTCCGAGGTTGGTAAAATGAGGACCCAGATTGTTGGGGGCAATATGCTGATTCTGTAAACTGC